TTTCCAGAAATCAGTTTGTATGATATTGAAAATTTCCCCATTACTATCTTTATTCAATGTTGCAATATATTCGCAAGTTCTTTCAAATATATCACCTATTTCGAAAAATATTTTTAATATTTTTTTTAGTGGTATTAGTTGCCCATATACACTTTCACTTTTTAATCCATTCTTATCTTTTACTTCCATAGTTCCAAAGAATATTGATACAGGTTGAATGTAATAACCAAGAATTTGTAATAGTTTATTTCGTTTGTATTCAGTATCAATATCGCGAAAAACACTTTGCAATATTTCGATCTTTTCAACTATATCATTCGAATTTGGTGACTCCATAACAGATATTTCCTTTTTTAAATCATTTACGAAGCTCGTATTCAGAAATAAATGAAATATACGCGTTATCTGATCAATTTGTATTCGAGATACCGTGGCATTCGACTGTAGTGAAGAAATCATTTCCAGTGCGAGTATACGAAGTTTATTCTGTATAGTTTGAACGTTCAAATTGTTATTTAAAAATGTATTATTGTAATTACATTCTGTTGTTTCATCGTTACAAATATTTAGTACTTTTACTTCATTTGTATCATCTGATATTTGATTAATTTCTGATTTTAACGCTCCTTTAAAATGTTTGCAACTCCTTTGATGTTTATAAAACGTTCTATAATTTGAATAAGAACGACTACAACTATGAAATCGACAGGTATATTGCACATAATTAATGCGATGTTTAAATTGCACATGTAGCTTTAGATAACTTTTAGAAACAAAAGCAAAACAATATTTACATTTGATCATCATTGTGAAAACTGAATGTTACATAAAATAAACAAAGCAGCAATATATCATTCGAATTACTTACTCCGAAGTAGGTATCAAATCTTGTAAGTCGTGGCAAATCGCATCAACAAGAAACAAAATTGCGAGCATCTCTTCCGCTAGTAATATTGTATACGTAATGTTGCAGAAAACACCATACCATTTCAGAATCAACAGGATATTTTGCATCCAGCGCAAAAAAAGTTTGAAAACACAAATTCACAGCATTTACTAAGCTCGTCGATGTGTATTTGACGTCATTTATAATGACGTAGAAAGATGTTAGGCTCATAACAGAACCAATTGCAATTACCATTGGCTGAAGAGTCAACCCAAAAGATTCAAGTTTCTCTTTTCGTTTCTGCAATTTAGGCTCTAACTCTGCTACACTCTAAAAAGAAAGAAACGATACTTTTGAAATAATAATATTACAAATATATATTCGAGGGACCTTTCTAACTACGTAAACAAAAATCTACCCGTCCCCCCTTAAAGAGGGGCGGGGGATAACTTCAAGATTTCAAACGGGACCCTTTATAAAATGTTACATATTTAAATTCTACGGGGAAAAACAAGTAAACTTCGTCCGAAATATTTCTTTGGAAAATGCTCCTATCAAAAGTTAGATGTTAATGGTGAACAGTTAAAACATTTAACCACTTGCGCTGGCAAGAAATTCACAGACGCGTGTATTACGACGTGCGTAGCACGTCTTTCCAGCACAAGTTAATGAAATAAAATAAAAACAAAAACCAAATAGTTTCATAATATTCTATTAATAACAATAAAAGATTGTAATAATAATAAAAGAAATTGTAAAATTTTTACTTGTGCCGTTCATAACCCAGATTGCTGATAGAGACTTAAAGTTAGTAGTAAAAATTAATATTTTTATTAGAATTACTTACTGGAACTCGATAGATAAAGCTTTCCGCAACTTCTGTTTTAGAAGGTTTCCACTTTTTCTTGCCTGTTTTTATTTGACATGGTGTAAATAAATGAGGTAATAACAAAAGGCTTAATGTTTCTACGGGTATGTCTAAAAACAAAGTAAAAAGAAGAAAAAAGTTAAATATTTATTTGAAAGACACAATTTTAAAATTAAGCTTTAAAACCGAAATGTATTATTAATATAAAATGTTATTTTATTAATAACTCTGCTTATAGAATTAATAAAATATTTTGCGAAAACTATAAAAGGTATTTAATGACTAAATATATTTAAAATATCAGTATCAAACGATAATATTAGTATTGAACGTTTATGTAAGTGATCATGTTATTTAATGTTTTTTAAGTTTCAATACTTATAATAAAAATCTTCATTTTTAAAAGTAAATGAATTCAAATTCAATTTTACTATTTTATTACCCAGCTAACAGCCACACGTCAAAATAACGTCAAAATTTGGTCAGAGAATGACCAAAAATGACCAATGAAATGACGTTAAAATGACGAGAAAAAAACGTACTAATGTCACGGACCGATGACGACATTTTAAGACATTAAAAGCATTTAAAAAGACGTGAATTTATAACTATTTTGGATCTTTTTATGACGTTTTAATGACGTCTTAAAAACGTACAAAATTATAAAAAAAGACTTAAAGTAACAAGGACTCCTTAAATTTAAATAATGTGTTTAAAAATGGGCTGTTAGAAGTCGGCGCGGTAAACGGTGCGCAAATATATACTGCGACCGCACGCGTAGGTGCGAGGCAATACTGTCGGAAGTTCGTACGTCCGGATCGAGCAGAGTTTCGCGTCCCAATCGGAGATACTTAAGTAATTTAGATGTTACAATAATCGTCTCCGCGGATGTAAGCGGGATTTGGGCGCTAGGTCCGCGTGAGCGGACCAAATTTATATAGTATCCGAGCTATCTCCGATTCCCGACGCACGACTCGATAAGTCGAAGCAACTTAGATTTTCACGAAAGGTCCGGACGGGCGAACGACGACGGCGCGGAAGGCCGGCTAACCAGCTCCGACAATGGTAGAGGGGCGGTTCGTTAGGTTTGAGGCTTAGGAGAGCGACAAGGAAAGAAAATAATTGCTCCAGGATTTAATAAAGATTAAGAGAACATGTATTTCCAATGGTCTCGCGGGGCGAGTGAATACAGAGGCGAGTACCTCGCGTGGTACTGATCGCGAGACGCGTGGGACGGGGCGCGCAAAGAGCCCCGGGGAGCGCGTATTCTGGCGCCGATCCTTGGCGGACTAACGCCACGCCAGGATGCCTATACGAATTACAGACGTTCGCGGGTGAGATAAGTAACACGAGTGTGTGTCGGATAGCGGACTGGGATGAGAACCGAACGAATTTCTTTAAGTAATCGCACGATGCTTCGCGGTGAAGCCGCGGTACACCTTGCGGAGTTACTCCGCGGCGCTCAAATAGTCCCCTCGAGCACGAGGCCGAGGATCTGCAATCGCTTTGCGTTGGCGTTTTACAAGGAGCGACTATCGTTCGATTCCGTCTCCCCGTCGGAAATTACAAGTCAAAATACTTGCCCGTGACAATCCGGACGTCCGATATATGGCGGGCGCGATGACGGCGATCGGCGCGCGGGCGCACGCGGTTCACGCGTTCGCGGCGTGCATGGGCACGTGGCCCGAGATCTACGGCGAAGCTCGTTTATCGCGACACCAGAAAGTTAACGCTCTCGACACAGAATTTAATTCACGATACGCGGAGACTCTAATAAATCCGACACACACAGAACGGCAAAACGAGCGCTCTCGCGCGAAAACTTACAATTACACGATACAAACACGCGGTGACTCAGCCGAGGGAGGGCGAACGCATACGACACTTTCAATGACTCTAATCTAACGCGATCGAGCGGGCGGTGCAATCTCTAACTCGCGGAATAAGTAATACCCGCAACTCTATTTTACACGGAATTCCTGGCCGCTACGCTGAAGAAATCTTTACTCTAGCACGGCCCTCTCGTTTCGCGAAACTTGGCGACTTTACAAACTTAGCGACGTTTGTCTTACCAAATGCTCTCCAGCTCCTCACTTCTCTTGCTTCTCGAAACACGAATTCGGTCTTCCCGACTCGAGGCTAGGGATGCACGATACCGGATCGATATTATCAGTATCAATACTTTTGTACTTGATATATATTTTATATCGATACATGGGGTGTCGATGTTATCGGCGTATCGATAATTTTGGGGGATATCGTATCGAAACGGCCATTTTGAGATTGTCAACAGTAGCGGCCGATTTGCTTTTGTCAATCTCTCTGTTGATTCCGTTCGTTACTGTTCGTTACTTTTGTTCTCTCCAGTACATCCTACAGTGAACAGTCTCTGTTGTATTCTCTAGCATTCTATAGAATGCCTCCAAAAAGAAGCCCACTGTGGCAACATTTTATAAGAAATACGAGTGGCGGGACTTGTAAAATGTGTCTAAAAGATGTTCGAACAAGTGGAAACACGACGAATCTTAAGAAGCATTTGCAATTAAAGCACCCGGATACTTTGCAATCTTCTCAGTCTCAACGGGACCCTGAACTAGAGTATGAGTTTTCCGAGACAGAGCATGACATCTGCATACCGAGTACAAGACATCTCAAAGCTCTTCAACGTTATTAAAAAGAGTACGTAAAAGACTACAGAAATTATATTTATTTTAATAGATGCCAAGAATCGTAGTTATTAAAATTAAATTTACACATACATATAGAATATGTCCTGCCATAATGAGGTACCCTCTGGATCTGGTATGCAGTTATCAATTAAGATTCCTCGCAGTCAGCCTCGTATTGATGAAGCTATACAAGACGTGAAAGCGTTTGAAAGTAAGTTCACTCTTATAATATATTAAATCTAACTCTGATATCACATTTTAAAGATGTATATCAGGTCAAATATAATATAATGTAATATAATATAATTATTCATTTCTGCATTGCTCAAGCAGTATATGCTGGATACGCAGTCGATACGTAATATAAAATTAAAATATATCAATAATTTCGTCTGTAATAAATATTAAGAGTTTATTTTTTGTTTATACGTATATTTTAATAGATGTAAGAACATGTAATATTAAAATCCTTCAATATATATAAATACTGTTAAAGTCGAAAAAAGTCGTTCAATTTTTAATATATTAATTTTTTAATATTTTTATTATTCACTATCCTTAATATCAGCATTTAACTGAAAATAGATAAAAGTATAACTTTCATAATTTTATTTTGTAAAAATTAATATATTATTAATTTATAACTATATTTTTATAGAAGGATCTTTCAAAGATGCGAGAATTACAAGTGCACTTCTCTACATGATTGTCAAGGACAATATGCCTTTAAACAGCACAGATAAGTCAGGACTGCAATATTTTGTGAATACTGCAATTCCTCTATACAACATTCCAGGACGGAATAAGATAACGGCCTTAATCGATGCCAAATATGATTATTTGTCCGGACTGATGAAAGAAAAGCTTACAGCTGCTTCAAATATCACCTTAACCGCTGATGTTTGGACGGAAATTATGAATACCATCGGATATTTGGGTATTACCGCACATTTTTCAAACAATGGTAAAATAAGCTCTGTAACTATTGGAGTTATTGAATTAGATGAACGTCATACTGCTATTTATTTGGGAGAAATGCTTTTAACAACTTGCAACGAATGGGACATACAATTAAGTAAGGTTTCAGTTGTGGTTATCGATAATGCTGCCAATATTTGCCGAGCAGTGTGTGACGTATTTGGGAAAGAAAAACAATTAAGATGTTTCGCCCACACGTTAAATCTTGTACCAAATAATGTTTTTGACGAGAGTCCAAATATTAAAGAACTTATTAACAAAATTAAAAACATTGTCACATACTTTAAGCAAAGCGTAGTAGCAGCTGACGAGTTACGCAAAGCTCAATCTATTGATGTTCCGTTAAAATTATTGCAAGATGTTTCCACACGTTGGAATTCAACGTTCTACATGCTTGAAAGATTTCTTATATTGATAGAAAGTGTTTCAAGTTCTTTAATAAAACTCCCGAAATCGCCACAAATGTTGACAGCATTTGAAGTAGCCACGATAAATGAAATTTTAAAGATGTTTAAACCATTTGAGTCGATATCAAAAGAAATTTGTGGTCAAAAATATGTAACGTGCAGCAAAGTTATACCAATGGTAAATGCTCTGCTTCACGAATTAGACGCGTTAAATCCGGAGTCAGATCTCGGCAAAGATTTAAAACTGAAGCTTATCATTGAACTTCAAAAGCGATTTTCTGACATGGAGTTTAATCCAATTTTGTCCATCGCCACGATATTAGATCCGCGATTTAAAAGATTGCATTTTTGCAAAGCATTGGCCTGTTCTGACGCAATACAACGAATCAATAAATTGCTGGTTATTGTGCAAAATCCAGACAACATTGAAAACGTTGTTCCGAATGCGGATATTAATAAAAATAAGAGTTACGACATCTGGAGTTTCCATCGCACTCTTGCTGAAAAATCGCAAAAATCAAATCAGGAAAATGAATCGTTCGGAGGTGTTGACCTAGCGTTTAGACAGTACTTAAATTTAAATGTGATTGATATAAATACCGATCCACTTGAATATTGGGAGAGAAACAGACACTGTTTCTCAAAATTAGCCGCGATTGCAATAAAATACTTGTCCATTGTTGCGACTTCGGTACCATGTGAAAGAATATTTTCGTGCGCGGGAAACATCATGGATCAAAATCGCGACAGAACAAAACCTGAACGCCTATCAAAATTACTATTCCTAAACTCGTTACAATTTACTGATTGGCATTTAATGTGGGAATGAATTAAAAAATGAGATTCGTAATTTTTATAACTTTCTTATTAGAAACTTACAGAAACTATTGTATTTGTACGTTTTGTTTTGTTGGTTTTCTCAGGTAAAGCAATGTAGTATTTTTTTAAGAAAAGTTTACGTTTTAGTGATTATTAATTTATACGGTTCACGCATTTTTTTCTTGTACATTTGGCGTCGAGCCGTTATCACGTCGCTTGTGATTTAGATAGAAGTGCAGGAAGGAATCAAGCGAGGTTTCGTGTCTGTGGCATGCAAGCATAACCATTTTACGTTCTTCATAGATACCCTCGTATCTCCCACGGGATCATTCGCGGCATCATGATCCATGTTACCTAATATCCTTTTCCTGTAATATCGCAAGTAATCATCATGATACACATCAACGATTTGGCCATCGTTATTCTCACAAGGACCTTAGCGTGTTGTAACGTAATTTTATTTTGTTCGCTCTCACGAGCCTTCACGTACTTGGGTAGAGTCAACTGTAACACGACACGTTTGTTGGTCTCGTTTGTGTAACTAATAACTAATTTCTCTCTTTGTTTACATTTACGGAGATATATACCATGAATCTTACCGCGAGATCAATCGATGCACGAGGATTTACTTTTCAAATCCACTACATCGATGTAATCTTTTAATCGTGTAGATGCGTCAGCGAGCGATCATCTACGCCAGATGTTCGATATTTGAATCGTACGCGACGATCGAATTGGATTACGAATGTTAAAAAAACTTCAATTTTATTTTTGCTAACAGAGAGAAT